TGTTTTGCCATCCTCAGTGTCCTATTAGAAACGAAACTTTAGCTCCTGGAATTATCTTTTATATTCCTGACGGCCTCTTCTGTGGCTGCTTTGAGCTTCCATCAAAGGAAGGAAATGAAAGAATAGAAATAAGCCACTCCAGGGCTTCTTTGCCAAAGGTTATAGCACACACTGGCCACAGGAGGGCAGACTTTGCTGCTCTGACTAAATTCAGTTTTATGGGTGTTTGCTTATTATGTACGTTCCTTTATCAAAGGTGTACTCTGAGTGCCCCTAGGAAAAAAGCACTGAGTTGTAGGAATCACAATAAATCACTAGAATTCTTGATCAGGGGTTGATGAAAGGTGTCCATAAGAGGGGGGCAGACTTTCCTGCTTTTATCAGCTGGGTTTGGGGTGAGAGAATCAAAAGTCCTGCCACAAGACCTCCCGCTTGCTATCAGTGCAGCCTCCACAAAACAACATAACTTCATATTTTGAGCTGGAGCACAGCCTTGAACCAGAGGAGGCGGTCAAAGAGACATTTCCCCTGAATCCCGAATTAACCACAAAACAACAGCTAAAAGGAGAATAGTTTCTCTTTTCTGTATTTTTTTTCCTTCTTAACAGACAATACAGTGAACAATTGCTTTGGGATAATAATTATTGTTATTGTTATTACTGTTATTGTTGTTGTTATTGTTATTAAATAGAGTTGGAAGGGACCTTGGAGGTCTTCTAGTCCAACCCCCTCCCTGCTAAGGGCAGGAAACCGTATACCATTTCAGATAAATTCAGACCCAGAATTTGTGAGAATATTTTGATGGTGTGGTCTCTGCAATCACTAGCAAAATGTTCTTTTCTTCTACCCATCCAAATAAAATGGCTTAACAAGAAGGTATTCGTCTCTTAACAGTGATTTCTTGAACACTGCTGGAATATTTTTCTGAATAAAGAAAAACAAAGCCTACACTGCAGGGGTAGTCAACCTTGGCTCTTTTATGACTCGTGGACTTCAACTCCCAGCTGGCTCAGGAATTCTGGGAGTTGAAGTCCACGAGTCATAAAAGAGCCAAGGTTGACTACCCCTGGCCTACAGGTTTGTTGTCCTACCGGGAGTCTCAGCTTCCAACAGCACTTCATTAAGCACCGAGGAGGTCCTGGATACTTACACTCGTCCGCCCTTGAAACCCGGGTGGGGAGGCCCGCCAATAGAAAGTCGCGATGCATCTCGCGGGAGCGGAAGCGACCAATGAGGAGGCGCGATGGATAGGGGCGGGCAAGGCTGAAGCCGGGCGGCTGCTGGTGGAGGAAAGGGCAGGGTTTCGCTGGCGGCTGGGCGCGCAGGAGCGAAAGCTCCATGTCTTTCCCACCCCAATCTCTAGAAAACGCAGCCTCTGCTCTGCTCGGGCGCTCAGGCCAGCGCTGCCTCGCTCTATGACGGATGGCTTGCTGTTTTTATGCACACTGTGAGCTTCTGCACCGGAGACACGTTCTTGTGTGTCCAATCACACTTGGTCAATAAAGAGTTCTATTTTATTCTATTCTATGTGGCCCTCTTCCTTGGTGCCTCTTGGGGGTCTTTTCCAGGTGGCTTTTCTCTTCTCCTGCCCCCTTGCCCAGCATTATGGGCTTTTCAAGGGAGGTGGGTCCTTCAGCCTCCTCCTTCCGCCTTGCCCAGCATTATGGGTCTTTCAAGGGAGATCGGTTTTTCCATTGCCAATGAGGACCTCCACCTTGGGCACTCTGTGAATGACGTCACGCGGCCGGGACGTCCAAAGATGATGTCAACGAGCTGGGAACATAACTGTCCGGGTGACGTCACCCCTCCAGATCCCGCTCTCCTGAGACGTTCGGCTTCGGAGCATCACGACCCTCGCGGTCTGCCGTAGTCGAAGCGGTGCCAGACTTCGACAGTCTAGACTGCGCAGGTGTGATCGCCGTAGGCGCGTGCGCAGAGGCGCCGGAGACCGCTCGGCGCGGTTGCCATGGAGTCGGAAGGGGCCTACGAGCCGGGCTTCGTGGGAATCCGCTTTTGCCAGGAATGGTGAGCGGGCGGAGGGTCGGGAAGGGCCCGAACTCGTCAGCATAGGAGCGGTAGTCCGCCCCAGTTTCTCCGCGAGGCGTTGAACCGTATCCCCCCTGCCCGTCGCGCTATCCGGGCCTGTTTTTAGAAAGGCCTCACCGCCCTTTCTTGCTCCCTCTCGCCCAGCAACAACATGCTGTACCCGAAGGAGGACAAGGAGAACCGGATCCTGCTCTACGCGGTAAGTGGGGGCGGCCTGCACGGGAGGATTTCATCTCCCAGCATGCTCCGGTCCGTGGGGGCACGTGCTGCCTCGCTGGGGGATTCTGGGAGTCGAAGTCCAGAATTTTCTTAAAAGTGCCAAGGTTGAGAGGCCCTCACAAACGGAAGGGGCTGGATGGGTTAGAAGCCATTGGAAGGGCAAGGCGAGATGGAAACCCAGCTTCCCTGAAAATTGGGGGTCTCGGCCCCTCTAGCCCCACTCTCAAGTCACTTTGCCTGGACCCGTTTCTCAAACCTGGCTACTTTTAGGTTCCCAGAATTCCCCAGCAAGGATTCCAGTGAACCTGAAGATATGTGGACCCCAACTCCCAGAATTCCCCAGGCTGGCTAGGGAATTCTGGGAGTCAATGTCCAGACATCTTAAAATGGCCTGTATTGAGAAATGCTATTCTGGACTTTAAAGCAGGCCGGTCCATGGGCTCCTGCCCTCCTGCTGCAGAGCGTGGGAGTCTCACTTACTCATTTCTCCATTGCTGGGGCTGCCCACCCCATGGAAGTGTTTGGACCCCAAGGCCTCCAAAGTGCCATCAACCATCCGAGCCTGCCTGGCCCTCCACTGCGGACACTTTGTGGGGAGGGGGACATCCAGGTCTTACCCACTTCTTTTCCCCCCCACCCTTTCTCTTCCTCTTTCCTTCTCTCTCCAGTGCCGGAACTGCGACTACCAGCAGGAAGCTGACAACAGCTGCATCTACGTCAACAAGATCACCCACGAAGTGGAGTAAGTCCTTGAGGACCACGGAAAAAGATGGCTCACTTGGGGGGGCAAGTTTGGGGAGGAGCCCCTCCCTGCCCCCTCAAATTGAGGGGGACGGTGGAGGGTTACCCCCACAGGTTTTGGTCTAGTCTTGCAAATCGTGAGACTGGGCCTTACCCAGCTTGATGGACGTTATCCTTGAAACCTTTTGCGGCTTAACACCGGGACTGTTTCTGCCCAGTTGTTGGTACCCCTGCTATCTGATCGGGCACAGAGGGCATGTGGTGGGTACCCTAAGGAGTGTGGGTTGGCAAGGCCCGGAAGGAGAGCCTTATCTGTGGTGGCACCCGCCCTTTGGAGCATCTTCCCCCAAGATTAGATTGACCCCATCCTACTTGGTCTTTCATAAGGCCTCGGAAAGCTGGCTTTGTGATTGAGCCTGGGGCCTTGTGGGTGGGCAAGAGCCCATTTCTGATTGTATGGGCAATGGATTAAATTGTGCCTGGCTGCTATGTGTTTTTATATTACTTTTATAGTACAAGTAGTCTTAAACTTAGAATTGTATTTGCTATTCTTGGATTGATTTTATTTGTTGTGAACCAAGCCGCCCAGGTTAAATAAATAAATCTAACATTTTGCTTTTAGTGAATTAACACAGATCATTGCTGATGTCTCTCAGGATCCCACTCTGCCCCGGACGGAGGATCACCCCTGTCAGAAGTGAGTACTTGTTGCTTTAGCTTAAATAACCAGGCTGGCTGGGGAATTCTGGGAAATGAAATCCACACTTCTTAAAGTTGCCGAGGTCGAGAAACACTGTTCTAAAACTTGAAAGTGAGCAGAATTTGGATGCTTTCTGGGAGATTTTATCCTTATTTTGTATTCTAAAACAGGGGTCACCAATCTTTTGGGCACCAGGAACCGGTTATGTGGAGAGATGTTTTTCCATGGACTGGAGGGTGCGTGGTTTTGTGTGCTGCCTGCATCCAATGGATGGGGCTTTCCTTGTTTGTGCGGACCGGTTGCTGGCATGCCACAGACCAGTACTGGTCCACGGACTGGGAGTTGGGGATCCCTGTTCTAAAGAAATGGTGGGAAGGAGCCAGGCTGGCAGAAGAAAAATCAAATTTGGAAATAGGCTGGACTCTGGACAGGAGAGGCCAGCAGAAAATAGGTGGGGGTGGAGAGTAAGTTAGAATGCAATTTAATCCCCAGTCCTGGCCAGGAGACCCACTGCAGTGGGTTGCAGCCTGCCTGAGTTGTTTGTGTCCGTGCGTGTGCACACACGCAGGTCCGGTTGGTAAAATGGCTGGAAAGAATTCCGCCAGCCACGTTCTGCACACTTTCCCTACCTTGTTTGATGCCTGGCTTTGCCTTCCAGGTGTGGCCACAAAGAAGCCGTCTTTTTCCAGTCTCACAGCGCGAGGGCTGAGGTGAGGAAATGGCTTTTCAATGTGGGGTAGGTGAGTGGTTAGGTATTTCACCTTAGGATGACATCACTCTGAAATGCCCTGAGGGATGATGGGCCTTTGTTGCCCAAAGGTGGCTTGTAATCACAAGCCTGGATATCTTTGGAGCCCAGCACGGCCTGCCCAGGAGTCTGGCAAAAGGGCTGTACCCCAACTCGTCTAGAGAACACCAGGTCAGAAAGAGTTGATTTAGGAGCCCGCTGGAGATCTGGAGAGGCCCTTTGCTTCTCTGCTTTCCCAAGGGACCGTCTCTGCAAGAAGTGACATCTGGAATCACAAAATCATGGCTGCCTTTCCCCCCCCTTTCTTTCCCAGGATGCCATGCGCCTCTACTATGTCTGCACAGCCCCCCACTGCGGTCACCGTTGGACAGAGTGAAACCCTGCCAGGCCTCTTCCTGTCTCCCGGCCACAGATGGCTTCCCCACTGCGATTCTCCGCTATTTATCCGTTCAGCCTGTCTGAATTGTCCTTTGCTCTAATAAATGGTTTATTTTTTACAGAAGACTCCAGCCTCGTGCGTGGGGGGCCTCAGCAGAATGATATTGTTTGTGATTTAGGCTTCTAACTCAGCAGAAGGTGCAACTGAGCCCGAAAACCAGCTGCCCCCGGTTTGGGGAAGTCGTCGTCCCCCAGGTAGGCAGGGGCGGAGGGCCCCTGGCAGGTGTGCCCGTGGTACTCGTCGCTGGTGCTGCAGGTGAAGCCGCACCCCTCGCAGACAAAGAGTTTGGCCCGGCGCTCCCGGTAGCCATAGGTCTGGGGGAGGCGGTGGATCTTCCTCAGGTGCGACTCCAGGGAGCAGCGCTGCGTGAAGCCCTTGTCGCCGCAGAGGCAGCAGCGGTACGGGCGGATGCCTGCAGGCAGCGACACACGGCGTTGGCAAAGGTCCTCAACTTAACGACCGTTCATTTAGCAACCGTTCAAAATTATAACGGCGCTGACGAAAGGGGGTTATGACTCGCATTTACGACCGTTAACGGCCTTCCCCAAAGTCGCAGGGTCCAAATTTGGGCCGTTGGGCAACCGGCGTGGATTTCTGACGGTTGAAGTGTCCCGAGGTCATGTGATCGCCATTCACGACCTTTCCCACCGGCTTCCAACAAGCAAAGTGAGTGGGGAAAGCTGGATTTACTTAATGACCACTTAACTGCAGTGATTCACTTAACAACGATAGTCAAAAAAGGTTGTGAAGTCAGGCACAGCTCACTTAACAACGGCCTTGCTTAGCAATGGAAACTGCTCCCAGTTGTGGATCGGCCACAATCCTAAGGGTGAGCCCCAGTTCCGAACCACTTTTTTTAGTGCCCCTGTAACTTGGGACGACGGCTAAATGAATGGTTGTAAGTTGAGGACTTGCTGTAGCAGAGGTGACTCCCTTTCCCTCCCTGTTTCCCCTTGCCTGCCGGCCCTCACCTGTGTGCGTTCTCAGGTGCCTCTTGAGGTCAAAGGTGTCGTTGAAGCCTTTGCTGCAGTAGCTGCACTGGTGCTTCTTGACGGGGCTGTGGCTCTTGCGGTGGCGGTTCAGCATGCGCTGCAGCGGGAAGCGTTTGCTGCAGACGGAGCACTGGAAGCCTGCCTGGGTGGGGAGACCCCTGCCCTGAGGGAGGGAGGGAGGGAGGAATGAATAGTGGAAGGAAGGAAGGAAGGAAGGAAGGAAGGAAGGAAGGAAGAAAGAAATAATGGAGGAAGGAAGGAAGGAAGGAAGGAAGGAAGGAAGGAAGGAAGGAAGGAAGGTGTGGTAGATGGGGGGATAACCTCCCCCTCCCTCTCCAAATGTGCCCCCATCTACCAAAAGAATTCTGGGCAACAAACCAGGATAAAAAGATAATACAACTACCAAAATCAATTTGGGGAAGGGAAAAAAAGGCAAAACCAAACAGCAGGCAGACAACGCAGGCAATCTCAAGACTCTCAGCCTTATGAAGATTGCTAAGGTTCCAAATCCAGTTTTCCTGGGGTGTGTGTGTTTCATTCCGAACTGCCCCTTACCTGGTTGCACAGAGGCGGCTTCTCCGCGGCAGGGGGCTGCGAATAAAGCGGGCTTTGGGGAAGGCGGTGGGGGTCTCCTCCGTCCCACTTGCTCTGGCTGCTGATGCTGAGCACTGCGGGGTTGACGAGGGCCTGGGCCACACAGGTCTCTTCGGAGATCAAGACAGCCAACAAGGATGTTATTTTTAGTGACTTGCAAGTACAGGGGCACAACACACTGAGCAAATGTCTCACTTAGCGGTGGAACCTTTGGGCTCCATTGTGGTCGTAAGTCGAGGACTACCTGTAGGGGACTCGGCCATCTGTAGGAATATGCTAGGAAGAGAGAGATGGAGACCTGACAGCCAGACAGTGGGATAACTTGGTCTCTTGCGCCTCTCCCTCTCTCCCATGGCAGTTCTTCCCCAACTGGGTGCCCTCCAGATGTGGGAGTCCCTCATTCCCATGATCCCCAGCCAACATGACCATAAGAGTCACTGCCCGGAAAGATGCCAAAGAGCTTCACCTACCTGGGACATATAAGTCTCCCCGGAGCCGGTCAGAGAGTTCACCCCAATTCCGTCTTCTTAGCTGTGCCGAGTTATGACGTTTTATCAGAAAGGACTTCGGCATGGCTGGTCGGATGCCAGGTTTGGGTTTCCCGGGATCAGTGTTCAGATGGACCAACACGTTGAACACGGTGGTGATGACCAACCATGGGAGGTCCTTAAAGTAGACACTTCATGTCCAAGAAGAAGAAAATATCTTTTATGGTGTTCGCCCCCATTCCTAAACCTTGAGTTTCTTCCGTATCAACTTATTTCTTCTTGTAAAAGAATGAATATCAGAGTTGGAAGGGACCTTGGAGGTCTTCTAGTCCAACCCCCACAATTAGCAAATCTCCAATTCGAATTTACTTCCCAATAAAAGCCTGACCTATAATTTCAAACAATTTGAGGAGCCAGGATTATCAATATACCTTAAAAAAAAAATTTAAAAATGCAAACCGTTGCTTCTTTCTTTCCAAGCCGTGGGCCCCAATTCCTGCCTCTAACCCCCACCCCAGCCCCCAGCAAGAATAGGAAGGTCACTCCCGAAGTGACCACACCAATTGTCTATCATCCAGCAAAGTCCAACATCTCAACACCATTCCGATGAACTGGAATGATTCTGTGGGTGGGATGTTTAAAAGAGCAACTCTAGATATCCTGACAATTTGCATCTAAATTGGGGGTGGGGGATCATCCCATTGCATCTCTTTTGCATACTTGGGTGCTTCTAATTTACAGATCTACAACTGCTCGCATTCAATCTATGCAAATCTTGCAGTTTAACTCTGGAAAGCAGAGTTAAGGTCAGTTATCCATCTCTCTGGTTGCCACCAGGACGAGAAAGTCATCGCATCTTCAAAAGCAGCAACAGAATCTGAACATGAGAAGGCCAGCTAAGCCTTCCACCACCTGCAGCACAACAATCCTGTGAGGTAGGGTAGGCTGGACAGGGAAAAACCTCAAACACAAAACATTTGATCATACAACAGAAAAAGTGTGACTTAATTCGATGTGCCACGGAGACCCAGTCTTTGCATTAGCAGTGTTTGTCAATGGACTTCAATTCCCAGAATTCCCCAGCCAAGGATGCAAGAGGGATCTCTTCTTCAATGGTCATCTAGCTGAGCCTAGCCATATACTCTCTCTTCTACTGGGCTGGGAATAAAAGTCGGCTTTTATCGGGGAAAAACAAAGCCAAATTTTGCTTGCAATCAAATTGGGCCTCCCTGGATATGATCACAGTCAGTATGAACCCAGAGGATCTCTGGGTTGTTGGGTTGTTATTTGGGGAGCCCGTGTCCCCGAGATTTTTCTTCCTCCCACCCAGCCTTTGTGCTCTTTTGCACTTGAGAGCAAACAGGTCTCTTTTCAAAGAGCACCAGATTTCCATGTTTGCTGAGTGCTCCGATTTGAATAAACCTGTTTCCGCGGTCAGGTTTCTGAGCGGTGTGATTTTAATGCGCGCATCCCTTTTTTTTGATTAACAAACCACCCTGGGAAACGGCTCACCTGCAGCTTGTGCCACCGTTCCCTGGATGGAGCTTTAGGCAAGCCCAATCGGAAGAAGCCCTCTGCTTCCCATGAAGCCCCCCCCCCCAATTCCTCGAACCAAGTGGCTGCAGGAATACAATCCTGCCTCGTCCTAAGCTTTACTGCAGTGTTTCTCAAACCTTGCAAGTTGGAAATGTGTGGACTTCAACTCCCAGAATTCCCTCGTCAGAAATCCAAAGAACTTCAGCAGGCATGGAGCTGAAATCCTTCGGCAGGCAGCTTTCAGTCGAATCCAAGCAGGGTTTTCAGCCCGGAGCAGAGATTCACTTATGTGTGGCCTGTGTTGGGCTTCTCAGGGTCTCCTCCAACCCCCCTCCTTTATTATAGCCTCTTTGTTCAGGGGCTGAAAATCCCACTTGGATCTTGGCTCCCCCTCGGCTCCTCTCTCTGAGGTTCATGCATGACCAATTCAATCTGCCCCTCTCTTTTAAATCCAAAAATATTTTATTATATTTAAAACCTTAAAAAAAAGAAGAAGAGTAAACCGTTACAAAGCCGTGCTGCAACCCGAGTTTAAAACAACACCATAGGAGACTTTCAGGACGCCCTTCTGTGTATTATCTGTCTTTCCTTAAGTCTTATAAAAACATTGGTTTTTTTTTCATAAAAGGATGAGTTAAAATCTGACCGAACTGCCAGCGTCTCTGGGCAAACCGTCGAACTTTTCCTATGGATGTGAACAAAGTGCTAAAGGCAACACGCGAATCGGTGCTCTTGTCGAACGGCCAGCTCCTCAGGAGTCACGCCGAAACGAACCTCCATGCACGACAAATGTGTGGAAGGGCAGGAATGGGGCCCTTCAAGGCAGGCTGGCTTTCTGGGCCTCCTCCAGCTTCTTCTGAACCAGGTTCATCAGCGAGTCAGAGTAATGCTTCAGGAGCGCGTGGGCCTCGCCCTCCTGGAGGCAGCTCGGCCAGAAGGACGAGGGGTCCGTGGCAGTGGCTGCATCGGCGTTATCCCTGCTGTCTCTCTTCGCCAGTTCGCTCTTCATCCAGCAGAATGTGCTAGAAAGCCTGTGCTTGGCGTGGGTGAGCTCCTCCGGGGTCCCATCGGTGCAAGAAGACACCTGAAAGATTGGAACGCATTCTGGCACTGCCACCTGCCTATCCCCGGGCAAAGCCCCTCTCTCCTTGCCTCTCTTCCGCGGCGTCATTACAAAAATAAAAACCCCAAAGTAACTGCAGTGGAAATAGGAGCAGGGTGTGGTCAAGATGGCCGTGAGATTAAAAGCTCTGCTTTTTTTTCAACATGTGCCGCCATCTTTCATTTTTTGATCACACCGGGATAGGAGAGAGGATAAGAGTAGTATGTTAGAATATAACACAGAGGGGAGGGGTCCAACCTTGGTCACTTTTAAGACTTACGGACTTCAATCCCCAGAATTCTGTGCTGGCTGGGGAATTCTGGGAGTTGAAGTCCGTAAGTCTTCAAGAGGCCAAGGTTGGACATCCCTGATGTAGCACAAAGCACATTTTAGGAACCTGGCACACCCATCCGAGTAAAGCTCCATCTTTCATTTTTTGTAAAATGCCAGAGTTCCCCCCCCCTTACCTTATCGTACAGTTGCAAAGTCTCTTGAAATTTGAGGCGTAGAGCCTGCAAGCTCAACTCAAAATTTTTGACGAGACCCTGAATTTCTGAGAACGAGAACAGAGGGGAAAAATAATTATAACAATAACAAAAAAAAATAATCCCTGTTTGGAGATTTACCAAGGCTGGGGAAAAGACCAAAATCCAGCCGACTGGAATGCCCCCGACTGCATTCTTTTCAAGGGACAGGTAAATTGCTCCAGCTGATTCCTCTGCAGGGCATCCACGAGGGACAGGATCAAACCCATTTTATCCCAAGAAAAGAAAAGAAAAGAAAAGAAGGGTGGCTCCAACTGCTTACCTGTTTGTTCGGTCGACATTCTTACCTGAAACACAGGAAGTTTTGGCATCGGGGCTTCCTTTCAGCTCCAACGGGATTTCTGCGGGAGGTTTCTAAAAAAAACCACGTGTTTCACAGAGGTTAGAGAGCAACTGAGCAGGTTTGAGGCCAGCACCTTCATTTCTCCATCAAGTCAGGATGGGGTGCCTTATTCCACTGCTGATGATGTTCACACCGTCCCACATTAGAAGACAACGAACTCTCGTTCAGCTACGGTCAAGGATGCCTTCTCTATCCACCAGGACAATGCCCAGTTTTAATTTGGAATTTCAGGAATTAATCTGGGGGATGCCGGCAACGTCGTGCTCCATGGTCCCAAGGGGGCTTTTTCAAGAGGCAATTGGACTTCCTTTGTTTTTCCTTCAGTTCTTCAGCTTCTTGGATGAGAAGTGAAACGTCTTCAAGGAAAAACCAAGAAAGTCCAGTTGCCTCTTGGGAAAAGCCCCCTTGGGACAACGTCATGTTCCATTAACACATGCCACCCGTCTAATCGCTGCACAACGGTTTTGTAGGTCGCTATTAAAAGATTCGCAGCCACCAACTTGCCTTGAATTTCGCAAAATCGCTGAGTGGTAAGCTCTCCTCTGTGACGTGTTCGGCGGAGGCTGCCTGCGCAAGCGGACGGACTCTTGGGAAAAAGGCAGCCGCAAATCTGTGTCGGAGAGAACAATCTCAGGGCAGGTTTCTAGGCGATGCTTCCCCACAAACGGAGAGGCGACGTGAAGGGAAGCAGCCGACCTGCAGTTCTTCTGAGCACGCGAGAGAAACCGGGCGGAGATGCTCAGGCGCGGATTCAGAAGCGGGCTCCCCCCGTCCTCCCTGTCTTCAAATGGCTGCAGATCTCGGAGACAACCATCAAATTTCTCTGTACACAAAAAAGAAAGGCAGAGAATTTGTCTGAGTGCCAATCAAGAAGAGCCTTTGCAGCGCAGTTCTTTTCTTGCGGACGTTTCATGACCCAAGTAGGTAACATCATCAGTGCCAGAAAGGAGTGGGGTTTGCTGATGATGTTACCTAGTTGGGTCATGTAATGTCTGCAAGAAAGCAACTAAGCTCTGAGAGCACCAAGGACCCCCCCAGTCTTCCTCCTCCTTTTTTCCCCTCCCCTTCTCCTCCTCCTCCTCCTCCTCCTCCTCTCCTACTCCACAACCCCCCTCCCTTCTAGCACTGATAATGTTCCCTAGTTGGGTCATGAAACGTCTGCAAGAAAACCAGCTCAGAGAGCACCAAGCATCCCACAATTTGTTTGAGTCTCTTGCACTCTGGGTATGGGCAGAAACCAAGAGAAAGGACCAATTCTGGATTTGGAGGCAGGACCTGGAGCATCTTGTTACCTGCAGGACTGTCTCGGTCACAGGGAGTCTGGCTGCTTAGCATAGGTGAGCCGAAAAGATATGCTGAAGATGCCCCCATCCTGGCATGAGGTTAAGGAGGAGGGCTGCCCCAGCTTGCCTCCTGAGGCTGGGGGTCGGCTCCCCTGACTCTGGAAGGGGCCAAGGGGGTGGCAAGCAGGAGCTGTCAACACTCACAGAACCAGTTCAAGTGGTGAGGGGGGTGGGTTGCTTTCTGTGCTGGCTGGCCTTGGAATTATAGGCCATTACGGGACTCTGACAGGGACGGCACCTGCAGCTGATCTACAGGTGAAATCCTGACAAATGGTCCTGAAGTGGCCCCAGACTCCATGGGCCAGTGGGCCGGCTTGATTCTTCGCCCCTCAGAGGCCCAATTCCATGCTTAAGATCCCTCCCTCTGAGGCTGTAAGAGATGGCCAGGCTGAGCCCAGGCACGGGGACAAACACATCAAGTCCCCTCCACGACCCCTAAGAGACCTAAATCCACCCCCCTCCTCAAGAGTCTGCCGACTCCCCGCTGGTGCCAATTCGCCTTGACCTTTTGTAGATCAGATTCTTCTGCACAGGTAACGCTAGAAAGAAACCTGGAGGGCTTTGGGACCCTATCCTGGCTCCCGCTTTCTTGCGCCGGGCGTTACCTTCCAGGGGGTCCCCGGCCAGAGTTTCGAAGTGGTGCTTGAGGTATCGCTCCTGCTCCGGCGTCTGGGGCAGCGACCCATTCTGGGAGAAGTTCTCGTCCAGGTGGGCCATCTCTGCTTCGGCCTCTGCAGGGAGCAAAACCAAGGGTAGGCCCAGGTGCTGAGAGGGGTGGGTGGGGGGGAGGGTTTCTAGCCTGCGTCTCAAGCACCCTTCCTTAATACAGGTAGTCCTCGACTTACAACCACAACTGAGCCCAACATTTCTGCTTGTTCAGTGGAACGTTTGTTGAGTGAGTTTTGCCCCATTTTACGACATTTCTTGCCCCCGTTGTTAAGTGAACCACTGCAGTTGTTAAGTTAGGAACACGGTGGTTAAGTGAATCTGGCTTCCCCCATTGACGTGGCTCGCCAGAAGGCGGCAAAAGGGGATCACCTGATTCTGCGACTGTCATAAATACGAGCCACTTGCCAAGCATCCAAATTTTGATCACACGATCCTGGGGATGCTGCAATGGTTGTAAGCGTGAAAAGCAGTCGTAAGTCACTTTTCTTAGTGTCGTCATTTCGAATGGTCACTAAATGAAATGTTGTAAGCCGAGGACTACCTGTATCTCTCCTGCCGGCCGCCTTCTTCCTCCATCAAGGTGGACTGCGAAATGTCCCTCTTTTCTCTCACCCTTTTGGGGGGATGACAGCTGAGCCCATAATCCCCCGCCTCCCCCCCCCATTTTTCTGAGTGGCTGGACAAGACCGAGAGCTGCTTGGTGTTAATCCATCACCGGTGCAGAAAAAAACCAATTCCTCTTCTATGGCCGCTTCAGATCGCTTTCCTCAACCTGGCGCCCTCCAGAAAGAGGGGCCAGCTCCCAGAATTCCTAGCAATGGCTAAGGGGATTGTGGGAGTTGAAGTTCACACCTGGAAGGCACCGGGTGCCTCTTGGGAACTGGGTTAAACACTACAGGACCTTTAGGACCAGCGGTCGGCCGGCCGGCTCACGAAAAGGACCCGCTTGATCCGGTACAAGCTGGGGAGGAATCCGCGAGCCCTGTGCGGGGATCTTACCTTCGTGCTGATGCCCAGAAACAGGCAGGTCAGCCTCCAAGGGCGACCCAGAGCAGATGTTCTCTGGCGCCTTGTCTTTGGGGCTCGAAGCTTCCTCCTCAAACACAGGCTGAGGGACTGACCTTTCAAGAGAAAAAGGAAGAAGGACGCTGGGGCTTCTTAACAGTGGATCCCCCCCCTTCCAGGGGTCAGGCAGACCTGAGAGGTGAATTGAACAGGTGAGGACAAGGCAGACTCTCTGCCCCAGAGCTCCTCCCGGGATCCAGCATGCAACAGGCCTCTTGACCAGCCTTGTGCTCGAGTCCAGGACGGCCTGGGACTTCTTTCCGAGAACGTCTGCTTGGGATCTGTGGGAAACGAACCTCTCCCTGAAGGAAGGGCTGCTCTCTGCTTGGGAGACGTAGAGGGTGGTCCCGCCGCCCTCCAGCCCCTGGGCCATGTCCTCATCGGAAGACAGATTTGGTTGTTTGAAGCCTTCGGTTATGTTGCTGGGAGAATCCTCGGTCTGGGTGGCAAAGCAGAAACATCCCTGTCATTAACTCCTTCTCAGGACTAGCCCTTCGTTACGAGGAGGATAAATGCGGGCACTCCTCGACTTACAACAGTTCGTTTAGGGACCGTTCAAAGCTACATCACTGCGCGAAAAACAAATGCGCCCTCTGGGTTCTGAACCACATTAAGAAAAACCCTCACCAGATCCAAAAGTCCTGCTTTCTCAGACAAGGGGGGGGGAGAGAAATCACTCAGCCAAGCAGACCAAAGCCCACCCACCCCCCGTCCACCCTCTCTGCCCACCTCTAAAATCAGCCGGTCCAGACTCCGCTGCTCCAGGTCCGCCTCAGCCAGGCTGCGGTTCTGAATCGGGGTGAAGAAGCTCAAGTCGGCGTCCAGGATGGTTTTAAGGGGCTCTTTGTCGGATCGCTCAGCCCAACGGCCCTGGGGCTGGTAGCTGACTCTGGCGTGAAAGGCGTTGCTGTCTGAATGGTCTGCTTCTCCGAGCTGAGAAGAAAAGAAAGAGGAGGAGACCCCCGGAGAGGGGGATTCAGAAGACCTGGCTGCTCCTGCCCCATCCAGCTGGAAAAACCCAGCAAAGATCTGCGTTGATGAAAGGGCAGAGTCCTCCCAGCAGCTGCCCTCTAGATCAGAAGCCCTCAACCTTTTGGGCACCAGGGATCGGTTCCATGGAGAAAGGTTTTTCCGCAGACCGGAGGGTGCGTGGTTTTGTGTGCTGCCTGCATCCCATGGATGGGGCTTTGCTTGTTTGTGGGGACCGGTTGCTGACATGCTGCGACCTGGTACTGGTCCCCTGACCGGGGGTTGGGGACCCCTGCTCTAGATGGGGGAGACCTCAATGGCTGCCACCCCCCCAAGCCCTGAAGGGCCAGGTTGGGGAAGGCCAGCTAAAGCAGTGGAAGAATCGCAGGCAGGGGATTGGGTGCGACCTACCAGTCTCTTTGCCCACATGGGCAGTCTGCCATTAGAGAGGACACAGACAGGAGCTGGATAGCAGCATGGGAAAAAAAGAGAAAACCCACATTAGGATGGATGGGCGGAGAGCGAAGGTATACAGCGTATGCAAGGAACCCCCTTTGGGCATTTAATAATCAAAAAATAAGCGTGAAAGTTTACTCAACCTGTCTTAAGAAGCTGTGCTCCATAATAATAAAGACAAGGGAGTTGACTTTTTTCCCCCAAAAAAGAGAAAGTTAAAAGAAATAACAAAACTACAGAGTTGGAAGGGACCTTGGAGGTCTTCTAGTCCAACCCCCTGCTCAAGCAGGAAATCCTCGACCATTCCGGACAAATGGCTGCCCAATCTATACTAAAAATGATAGACTGTCAGTGTTCCTGATATTACCAAGAATGTTTCCTTCGTTTAATCAGGAAAAAGGAGGAGGAGGAGGAGGAGGAGGAGGAGGAGGAGGAGGATTTAGGGATTTAGCAGATGCTGCAGCGGTTTTGCCCAATTTATGAATTCCAAAGCAATTGGGGTCACAGCTCCCCAAACTGCAGCCCTAATATATTTGAGGGGCTCCAGGGAAGGAAGGCCACACGATAAAGAATCCATGTCTTTTTAGTAGTGTGCAGGTTGGGATGCTCTCGCCCCGGCCCATCTTAGTAGCCCTCCATGATTATTTTTATGTAAATTTAATCTTCGATTCAATTCACAGTCTGTAAAAACGTAACAGTTCGAGTCCTAACCAAGGACCTTAGAGCTGCTAAGTATATAGGCAGTTCCAAGTCAGGTGGTTTATTATTATTATTAATATTATTAATATTATTATTAATATTAATATTAATATTGTTGTTGTTGCTATATTCACCGCACAGATGTTCAGACTGGGTTTGGCATTTTTGTCTGCCTATCGAGTCTTTTCCAAGGGCCTGGGAGAGGCAGGTGTGGATGTTGGATGGTGTTAGAGATTATTATTATTATTATTATTAAATTTATTTGCTGCCCATCTCCTGTCAAATGACTCCGGACAGCTTACAGGATAAAACATTAACCAAGCATTAAAATCATCAGATGTAAAATGACAAAGCGGATAAAATAAAATTATTGCTAACTCAGATAACTTGGCTTGCCCCAAGACATACCTGGGTCAAGGTCATCTTTAACCGGGGTCTGCGGAGCTAATTCTTCCTCTTCCCCCTCCTCTTCTTCCTCCTCCTCTTCTTCCTCTTCCTCCTCCTCCTCCTCTTCCTCCTCCAGGTCAGAATCAACCGCATCCCGGTGGGGGACTCTTTCAAACATTTCCACCCTGGAAAGGAAGGTTCAAAGCAGCTGTTTTTTTGCACAGCTGGGCCAGAATTTCTGGACTCAAGAGCTCAGGCTGGTCTGGTACCTGATCAAGGGAGGCCACGCAGAGTCCCTGACCTCCTGCTGCACCTGGATCTGCTCCAGTTCCCTCAGGTGCTGCTTCATGCAAGCGGTAATTTCAGGGCTCAGGCGCCACACAAAGATGCAGCTGAAGAATAGAAGGATAAGTGCTGTTAAAAATGGGGAGCCCTGCAGGGGTGGGGCCCCCACGCTGCTCCTGCCAGCCTAGATCTGAATTGTGCCCCACGACACAGACAGCCAAATGTGCGTTAAATTCTCCCACTGTCCTTCCTGGATCAGCCTGGGATCTCACAAGTCTTGAAAGTCGTACATGCAGCTTGGAGAGACCAGACCACCCCACCTGTCTCCCGAGACGGTGATCAGATGTTTGCAGTCGAAGGTAAATTTCATCCCCGTGATGACTTCTGCAATGTAGAAGGCGTGAATTAGTGCGCGGTTCCCCTCGATTAGTTTAGATTAATTAATTTGGGCGTCACTTGGGTCACTCTTATTCACAGGATAGACCTCTGAGCATGTGCAAAGCATTGGATCAGCCAGCACATGTCTCTGTTGGCTTCATACCGGAGTACCAGAGAAAATCAGAGAAATTCAAAACAGCAAGACCGGGAAACAAACCTGAGTGCCCAAACATTTTGGCCACACATTCTCCAGAGCGGAAGTCGATAATGGAAATGCTTTTATCCGAGCAACTAGTGGCCAGGAATGTTCCAGAAGGATCAAACTGGACCTGCAGAGGGATCAGAAACCAGACTATATCAAATGGTCTCTTTTCTGCAAATTGCTCTATCTATCTATCTATCTATCTATCTATCTATCTATCTATCTATCTATCTATCTATCTATCTATCTATCTATCCATCCATCCATCCATCCATCCATCCATCCATCCATCCATCCATCCATCCATCCAATTAAGAAACCACCCATCTATCTCACAGGGGAATCTGGACAGTGAACAAATACAATTACTGGCCAAGGGACAGTTAGCCAAATTTTTGATCTTCCCAAGACTCTTTGAGACATTAAATTCTAATCTGAAAAAAAATATATCCCTCATTGCAAACAATGACCAATCCCCGGTTCTGCCCTGGGGGGAACACATTTTTCTACGCATCTCCTTCACCTTGAGCAGGGATCCATCGTCGCTGTGGGCCCCTTTGTAGCAGCCCTTCTGCTTCCCGCTGACCGTGTTGTATATCCTGGAAGGTGAGAATTCAGCTGGGCTCAGTGTGCGGCTGGCTCAAGGCAGAGGTCTTATGGGGGGACAGGCCCATTCAGAAGATGCCTCAGTCCCCACTGCACCCCTAGTTCCTCCCTCCCCTAAGACTGGACTCCAGTCCCTGGCCTGGGGAAAGCCAATGCCTCCCTTATTTTCTCCACTCAGGTGTAGTTTCGGGAATTCAAGAGGGCGAGGAGAGCGGTGGACAGCATCTCACCTGACGTTTCTGTCCTGGCAGGCTACAGCGACGTACTTCTGAGTTATATCCACGTCCATGTCATACAAAGTGGTCTTCTCGGCAACGTGGTGAGACCGGATGAAATTAATTCCACCTCCGACCTGGAGCGAGGAAGCAGAGCCTCTGAAGCAAGGTAAGAATTTTGATCCAGCCGTCTTAAAACTAGGAGTAACAAGCTCCCCGCATCCGGACTCCCCAAATGGGTTGGGTGTCAACTGGAAAGCAACTGACCTATAGAATAAGCCCACGAAGGATATAGGCAGAGTGAAATCTTTACACTGCGACTCCCGGAAAGGGAATTGTTATTTTAATACAAAAAGGAGAAAATTAGGAATATTCTGCTAATTATGATCAGAAATTCCGAACAAGCTGTAGGAATAACAAATGCAACCTAGACCGTTTCCGTAATGCCCATCCAGATTCCTGGGAGAAGAGCACAGAGAACCCCCAGCAATCTGGGGTCATCGGAGACCCTACCCTGTTGAAGTCCTGCCTGACCAACAGCTGTTTGGTTAAATTAGCGCAGGAAAAGTTTTGTTCAACTCCTTAAATCAGACTAAAGTGAACGGCCAACACAACCCCATAGGCCACCAAACTCTGAATCAACAGCTCGTGTTTAACTGAACATATTCAATATATTCAATTCAGACTCAGCCAACTCCAGTCGACTCTATTTTACTCTTTATATCTATTTATCTTTATATCTATTTATATGCTGCTCAAACAGCCCTCCAGCTAAGAATTGTAATTGTTTTTATAATATAATGATAAATAATTCTAAGAACCTTTTGCGCGCTGCGAAAATAAATGCTTTTGTCAGCTCCACAGCTAATCATCTGAATATGGTTATTTCCTATTGGGGGAGAAAAAAAAGTTGACGAAAGAAAAGAAGGTCAGACAGATTGGCCTTCTCGTGTTCAGGTAATTTATCTTTTATAATAATCTTTTCAGATTTATGCTTCAGCCTCATCCCAGTTTATCCATCCTGGTGCCCTGCAGGAGGACGGGGCTCCAGTTCCTGTGATCCCTAGCCAACATAGTTTGAGAAAGGCTGAAAGATGGTCAGAAGGATTTGCAAGCAGATTTTTCACAGGACTCCATACCGAGGGGTCTTAAGCAGCGCTTTCTGGCCAAGTTATTTCTGCCATCTTACCAGTGAACTTGACTGCTGTTATAGCCGAGGAATGGTCGTCCAAGGTCTGCTCCAATTTGTAATTGCTTCCCACGTTCAGGACATGAATCAGCCGATCTCGACTCGCGGAGGCCAAGAGCGCCAGGCCTGCAAGCAGAGGGGGAAAAACACTTCAGCTGCTCCTGTAAATCCCAAGAATTGCAATGGCAGAATTGTTAAGAGGATACCTTAGGCAGCAAGGTGAGTGTTTGTGAGTGTGGGGGTGTGGGTGTGGGTGTGTCATGGGTGGGTCTGCACACACAATACAAAACATGGGGGTCCAACCTTTGGCCCGGTGAGGCCACATTGAGTGAGGAGGAATCGTCTTGGGCCGCATACAAAATACAGGCAGTCCCTGACTTGCAACAGTGCATTTATTGACCGTTCAAGGGTACAAAGGCACTGAAAAAAGACATTTAGGACCATTTTTCACCCTTACAACCGTTGCTGGCTCCCTCTGGTCATGTGATCAAGAGTCATGTGATTGGCAACTGACTCATATTTATGACCGTTGCTGTGTCCCAAGGTCTGACCTTCTGGCAAGCAAAGTGAAGGGGTAAAGCCAGATTCACTTACTAACTTATGACCTGCAGGTAGCAGCTGTGGCCAGGAAGGTCATAAAATGGAGCAAACCTCATTTAACAACTGTCTCAATTAACACAAACAGAAATTCTGGGCTCAATTGGGGCCGTTAAGTCGAGGACTACCTGTACATAATCCACTAGTCAATATATGTAAATGACATAACAAGGTTAAAACGTTTACGGTCTGGTGGGGCCGCATCACCTGCCATGCAGGGTCTCGGCTTGGACCTGCCTGGCTTAAAAAGTACAAAAGTTCAGCCGCACAAATCCCCAGATTTAAAAAGCCACCTGTTTCCAGCTTGGAATACTCTAAGCAGAGGACTTCCGAATCGTGGGCTTCAAATTTCATCACTTCCGCCATGGATTTTAGCTCGTGTATCCTGCAAGACAAAATTTCAAAAACAAATTTTTAACGGTTTGAGAGTTAGCTGATTGGAATCCACTCCTGGCATTTCCCAGGACAGGGGTAGGCAACCTTGACTCCTTTAGGACTCGTGGACTTCAACTCCCAGAATTCCTGAGCCAGCTATGCTGGCTCAGGAATTCTGGGAGTTGAAGTCCACGAGTCCTAAAAGAGCCAAGGTTGTCTACCAGGGAGTAGAATGGGGTGCAGAATCAGCACCTGTCAGAAATTACAAAAAAGAAATCGACCAGCCACACCCGATGGCCAAACTCTGGCAAGGGAGCGAAATCAGTTTAAGGGTGCCGGTCAGATTTAATGGCCATCGATTCCCAGGTAACGATCTACGGGCAGTCCTTGACTTACGACAGCTGAGCCCAAAATTCCTGCGGCTAAGCAAGATGGTGGTTAACTGAGTTTTGCCCCATTTTATGACCTTTCTTGCTGCAATTGTTAAATGAATCAGTGTAGTTGTCAAAGTTAGTGACACGATTGTGAAGTGAATCTGGCTTCCCCATTGATTTTGCTTGTCAGAGGGTGGCAAAAGGGGATCACCTGACCCCGAGACGCTGCAACCGTCGTAAATACGAGTCAGTTGCCAAGCATCTGAATTTTGATCCATGGGGATGCTGCAACAGTCGTAAGTGTGAAAACTGGTCATAAGTCCCTTTTTTCAGCACCATTGTAACTTTGGTCACTACGTAAACAGTTGCAAGTCGAGGACTGCCTGTACTTGTTGGATGGAGTGAGTGTCAGAGTAAAGTTTTATTATCCCAACATGGGTCAAGGTACAGAGAGGGGTTGAGTGGGCACTGCAATAGACAGATGTCCAGCACGGAAGGAACCAAGCCGATCCAAAACCCACCTCAGATTGCCGGCTCTGTCCCCAGAGGCCAAGTGCTGACCGTCAGGGCTGATCTGCATCACTCGGACGCCGGATTTGACATCAAGGTAGCCGACGTTGTCATTTCGCTCCGGCAAATTCGTCGAATCTTGCAAATACTGAGTGCTCTTCTCCACATACACAACCTTCAGCAAGTTCTTTAGGGGGGAAACCAGGCATTAGGGCACATCAAAAGGAAATTAACACGGTGAGGTTTTAATTCTCTTCGGCCCCTGAAGTACACTTGGCCTCATCAGTGGGGGAGAAGCCAGCCTACAACTGCCTTGTAAGGAAGACGAGGGACTTACGTCGCTGTAGACGTTCTTCTTGAAAGGTCCACGGGTGTTGTTCTCCAAGTTCCAAAACCGTATAGTGCTGTCTGAGGAACATGTTAGAAAGGATCCTGGGGGCAAACAGCCTTGGTGATCTTCAAATTCAGGATAAACCTAAGATGGAGCCCACATCATAGGAGACAAGTGAGAACATCCACACTGGTGGTCTTTCCATCCCTGCTGACATGACCCTCCTGGTCATGGAACCAATGGAGGCTGAGCCCTGCAGGCGAGGGAGACCTGCCCAGGGAGCAGACGACCTCCTGTCCAACTCAGAGACTCGCTGGGGAAGCCACCCAGGATTTTAGCAAGTGACTTCCAGTTTGGAAGTGTGTTCACTGTGTTCCCCTCACTTCCCCACAGAAGTAGCCATTCACCTCAACGTTCCAGACAAAGGAGCTGTGGAAAAGATCAGAGCACACTTTCCCAACGTGGCCGATGTCCTTCACATCCCAAATGTACACGCTGTGATCCTTGTACACGCAGGAGAGCCAGTGACGGCGGGGGTCGAAGACAACAGCAATAGCGTCTGGATAGGGGGCATCCGGCCTTCTGGAAAACACCAGAAGGTGTTGCTAAGGGGAGGAGGGAGGGGAGGTGCAAAAGAATCCAATGTGCTGGATTGTAACTTCCACAAAAACCTATTAGCTCCTCTGTGGGAAAAAAATGCCACTACTTGCAGAAAAATGGGTCTTCCCAAAGAATCAATAACTCCATATCTGATGATTTGTAGCTAGAAAAAAAAGCAATGTTTTGGGGAGCCAATATGCTCTAGTGATTAAGGCTCCAGGCTAGAAACTGGGAGACAGTGAGTTCTAATCCCGCCTTAGGCATGGAAGCCAGTTGGGTGACTTTGGGCCAATCGCCAGGAGACTGGGAGTTCTAGTCCTGCCTTAGCCATGAAAGCTGGCCAGGTGATTTTGGGCAGGGAAGAAAGCCCAAAGGGGTGGTGCGGGATCTATTGGGGGCCCCTGTGTTTTCCAGCTCAGCCTGAGCAGTGCCATACCTCAGGATCGGCTCTGCAGCCACATCGGTGCCCAGGTAGTGCGGCTTGGGCAAATCGGAGAGGTAATGCAAGTTGTGTGCTTGGAAGAGGCGCACGGTTCCGTTAGCACAGCCGCAGAAAATAAATTCTTCGCTGACACAAATGCAGTTGGCCAGCGTCACCTCGAGGGAAGGGAAAAAAATGCACATTAAGGGGATGCTAAAGGAGCAAGGGTGGAGGAGCAAAAAACAGCCCGCTTACTTTCAAATCGATCCATTTTTCCAGGATGCGCTTCTCGTTAAACAGGCAAAGCAGTCCGGAGTGGGAAATGCAGAAGGTGCTGCCGGCCATTTTGCCCTGGCCACAGGCCACATCGCAGAAGGTGTTGTTGTGCAGCTCCCCGAGGAGTCCAGAGCGACCCACCAGGGGAACTGTCTCCTTAATCTGCGGGAGGCAGTGATCGTCACAGGCTATACAGGTAAGATTCGGCTTGCAACCGTTCATTTACTGACCATTCAAGCTTACAACAGCACTGAAAAAAGGACGTTACGAACGTTTTTCGCACTTACGACCATTGCAGCATCCACAGACGCTTGGCAACTGGTCATACTTATGACGGTCGCAGCGTCCCAGAGAGTCATGGGATCTCCTTTGGCGATCTTCTGACAAGCAACGTCAATGGGGAAGCCAGATTCACTTAACAACCTGTGTCACCCACTTAAGAACTGCAGGGGTTCCCTTAACGATGGTTTCAAGAAAGGTCATAAAATGGGATAAAACTCACTTAACAAATGTCTCGCTTAGCAACAGAAATGGGCTCAGTTGTGGTCGTAAGGCAAGGACTACCTGTAGAGCAGGGCTGGGCCCCTATGGGTCCTTTATGACCTGCGGACTTCAAGTCCAAAGAATTCCTGGGAGTTAGACTTCAATTCCCAGAATGCCATGGGGGCTGGCTCAGGAATTCTGGGAGATGAAGTCCACAGTTCGTAAAAGGGCCAGAGCTGCCCACCTTGAGCTCCACTGGGCATCAAATAGTTAATTCACGCAGGCCTCTGAGCAGCTTAGAGGAGATAAACGTCATAATTTTTGAAAACAACTGAAATAAAACATGTTGGAAGGGAGATATCAGACAGCGGCTGCTTAGTGTGGCCATGAATAAATAAAAATACTTTAAGACAGGTTTTTAAGTTTCTTCCTGAAGGCCATCAAAGTCATCAAGCCGGCCGGGGAATTCTGGGAGTTGAAGTCCACAGGTCTTAAAGTTGCCAAGGCTGGACACCATACCTGGTATAAGGTACAGGCTTACCTTAATTTCTCTGGAGCCATCCAAAAACCAGAACTTGACGTGGCGGTGCCCGACTGTCACAAAATAGCTGTCCTCCGAGAAGGAGATGGCCATAACTTTGGAAGAGACTTTGTTGGAGGCGATGAGGGTATCGCTCTGTGGGGAATAAACACCACCCAGCAATCGCTGTAAGATGTGCTCAGGACAGAAATACATCCTCGACTTCCAGCAGTTCATTTAATGACCCTTCAAAGTTACAACAGCACTGGAAAAAGGGACTTATGACCGGTTTTCACACTTAACAACCAATGCAGCATCCCCACGGTCTTGTGTTCAAAATTCAGATGCCTGGCAACCGGCTCATATTTATGACGGTCGCAGTGTCCCCTGGGGTCACATGATCCCCTTTTGTGACCATCTGACAAGCAAAATCTAGGGGGGGGGGAAGCCAGAATCACTTTACAATCATGTCACTAACTTAACAACTGCAGTGATTCGCTTAACAACTCTGGCAAGAAAGGTCGTAAAATGGGGCAAAACTCATTTAACTGTCTCCCTTAGCAACAGACATTTTGGGCTCAATTGTGGTCATAAGTCAAGGAGTTGAAAACAGAGTTTGTCAATCTGGGTGGTGGCCACGTCATCTTCCTTTAACCATGATTGAGTGAGCAAGCCACATCGGGGTTCTCTTAACATGCTAGAGCAAAACCCAACCTGTCCTATCGGGATCTTCAGGATGTGAGAACCGTATCCAAGTTCTCCTATTCTATCCGTTACATCCAAATTCTTCTGCTGCAGAATCTGTACACTGTATCTCTGGGAAGACCCTGGTGTTCCCGACCTTGTGAATGGGGCCTCCCCATGGACCCTGCAAGAGGGCGTCTTACCTTCCAATCCCACACATTCACTTTCATGTCATGAGGATACCCGACCGACACGAGGTATTTCATATTGGGAGAGAAGGCCACGCAGGCCACGCCGTGCTTGTGGCCGTGAAGTTCAGACACTTGGGACTTCTCCTCTGCGTCCCAGACTCGGACGGCTGGCTGATGCCCGTTCTGTAGGCAGAAAACCCAGAAGAGCGCCAGTTTAGTCCAGTGGTTAAGGCACCAGGCTAGAAAGTGGGAGACGGTGAGTTCTAGTCTTGCCTTGGCCATGAAAGCCGGCTGGGTAACTATAGGCCAGTCACCAGGGGATGGTGAGTTCTAGGCGTGATGAAAGGTGACTTTGGGCTAATGGCCAGGAGACAGTGAGTTCCCACGTTAGGCATGAAACGCAGCTGGGTGACTTGGGCCAATGACCAGGAGATGGGAGTTCTAGTTCTTAGGCATGAAAGTCTACTGGGTGACTTTGGGCCAATCACCACCTCACAGGATTGTTGTTTTGTGGGAAAATAGGAGGAGGAAGACATATTAGGTATATTCGCTGCCTTTCATTATTTGTAAAAATAATAAAAGCAGGATAGCAATAAATAAATAAACAAGAGAATTAGGAGAGGCCTTCATCTGAGCACTGGTCAACTCAGCCAAGGAGCTGCCTTAAAGACTATGCAAAGCCCTCTTTGTTACGACACACACACACACACACACACACATGACGCTGTTCAGAAAGGAAGAAGCAATAAGCCAAAAAAATTAAACCTTGAGAGAAGAAAAACAAAGGAAATGTAATTAACTGCAGCTTACAGCAGCTCTTTGGCTCTACCACTTCCGTAAAATGCTTCTTGTGTAGCCTTTTGCTCTTGTTTCTCAGAGTGGCCCATTCGCTCTTTCCTCGTGTAATTGTTTTCATGAATTGATTCTCACTCATTCTCTCCACCGGCCTACCTCAATGTACTTCTTTCCAACTGGCCATTCACTTTTGTATCCAGGCCACGTTCATGCTTAAGCAAGCTCTTCCTGTTTTATCACAAAAGCTTCAAAAATACACCACTCCCACTGGGGGTAGTCCTGCATGGCTTATAATAAGGGCCTTATGGTACAGGACATCCGGGGGGAAAAACAGCAAACTCAGCTGACGAGCCCAACAGAATGAAGAGTTGATAAATAGACCGGTTCTTTGCAACACCCTGTTTTTGGACTTTCTATTTTTCTTTTTATCATTTTTACTTCGTGTTGTTTTTTTCATCTTTTTAATTGTACTATCTAAGAAAAGAGTTACTCACCTCTCCAGTGGCAACGTATTTCCCATCAGGAGAGAAACACAAAGCACTCACAGTTTTCCTTAAAAAGAGAGAAAACCTTCATTTCTTTCTTTCTTTCAAAGAATGAATACTTGTAGAATACATCTACTAAGGTAGTCCTCGACTTACAACCACAATTGAGCCCAACATTTCCATGGCTAAGCCAGACGGCTTCGGGAAGGATGAAATAAAAATCGGAAGAGTGGCTTACCTGGCTGTATTAACGATGTGCCTTTGCTTGTTCTTCTGAGGATTGAAAATCACAACCACACATCTGAGGGAAAGATGAAAATGCTGACATGGGAGAAAGTTTTCCAGGATTCAAAAGGGGAGGGAGGGAAAATTTGAGGACCCCTCGCAGGTGAAAGCTCATCAGTGTCGCAGTTCTTTTGCTTTCAAAACACACTAAATCACAGTCTAAGAGTGAACCAGGATAAGCCTCTGGCCTTGAGCAAGAAGAACCTGGAAAACTCTTTTAAATAGTATACGATAATAACAGCTAAATTATGCTTTGGCTGAACAAGCTGTCAATAAAGGCAATGAAGTGTGGTTTGTGATACGGGCCCCTTTAAATGAAACCACAATGAACATTAAACACATGCATTTTATTAAAAATGGAAAGAACTGCTTCCAAACAGCTTTCAGGGCTGCAGGAGAAAATGACAGACAACACAGAAGCCTGCAGTTTACCAGGTGTGTTCTCGGGATAAACTATGGAAAAATATTAAGGTTAATAGTGGATAACTTCCTTCCAAATAGCACCAAAGATGCTGTCTAGTTTAGGTAGTGAAAAGGATTTTGTAACCCTCCAGAGTCTTCTGGAGTGGGCAGCTATAACCAAATCTAATAAACTGGGTTAAATGAAAAGCTGCATCTCTCCCTTGCCCTTCCAGCAATAGACCACTATGTCAGCCCAACTCTCCCATAGCATTTGGCATAAACTTTGGTTTAAGGGGCCATGATATCAAGGCATTTCCTACCCCTGGAGATTTGGAAACAGGTTTGCCCTCCACCTCGTCTGCCTTTAAGCTTGCTGGATTTGTGTAGTAATTTCTATGGTGCACCCGAGTGTTTCAATCTATGGGAGCAAAGGACTTACCCTGTTGGATAGGCGATGTGTCCCGAGTTTGGGTCACAACTTAAGCCATTGCTGGTCTGAGCAGTTATTCCCAACACGCGCTCGAGGGTCACCTGCCGGAAAGCAGACAAGACATTGGGGGCACCTACCAATCCAATTGACAATCCTTGTAAATACATGCCAGGCACTTCCATTTTTTTAAAATAATATTTTATTCCAAGCACTTTCCATGTTGATACGATCCTGGGGATACTGCAATGGTCGTAAGGGCGAGGGCTGCTTGTAAGTCGTTTTTTTCAGGGCTAACTTTGAATGGTTGATAAACAAAGATTGCTAAGAAGAAACTGGACAGCCATTTGTCCGAAATGGTATAGGGGTTCCTGCCTGAGCAGGGGGTTGGACTAGATGATCTCCAAGGTCCCTTCCAACTTTACTATTATTATTATTATTATTATTATTATTATTATTATTATTATTATTATTATTATTATTATTAAGTTAGGCCAAACTTAGCAACTTTTTAAAGACAAAGTTAAAGACTTGTGGACTTCAACTCCCAGAATTCCCCAGCCAGAGCAGGGGGTTGGACTAGATGATCTCCAAGGTCCCTTCCAACTTTACCATTATTATTATTATTATTATTATTATTATTATTATTATTATTATTATTATTATTATTATTATTATTATTATTATTATTAAGTTAGGCCAAACTTAGCAACTTTTTAAAGACAAAGTTAAAGACTTGTGGACTTCAACTCCTAGAATTCCCCAGCCAGAGCAGGGGGTTGGACTAGATGATCTCCAAGGTCCCTTCCAGCTCTATTCTGATTGATTGACACCCCCCCCAAAAAAACAAAAAAAACAGACACAACCTAGAAGAGTGCCACAGGATGCTTTTCTGGGTTACGCCCACACTCTAACTCCACCCACTACGTCACCCCGCCCTGGGCTCCTCCCTTTCACCCCCCACCCGGCATTCTGAATCCGCCCATCTCTGCGGCCCCACCCCTCCTTGGCTTGGCCCCGCCCCTCACCGCCTCCTCCGGCCCTTGCTGTTTCGACCTTCGCCTCAGGCTGAGGAGAGGCGGCGACTCGAGGCTCGGGTTCGTCGTTCGCGGGTAGAAGCAGCCGCCTCCTGCTCCCGCTCCTCCTCCGCCGGCCATCATCGCTACCGAGCCCGATTGCTTGCCAACCGGCGGTTCTCACCCCTCCCCCCCCTCAGACACCGCGGCTCGGCACCCCGTAACCGTCCCAAACAGCGCGCGGAAACGATGCTGCTCCGTCGTTGGCCGGGGCCGCGTCAATCAATCCCGGACGCGGCCAATGGGAGGCAGGCTTTGCCACCAACGACCTGCCTCCAAATCAGAAGCCGGGCGCGCGCCGCCGCTTTACTTTGGACCAATCAGAGGGCGCCGTCGCAGCCGCCGCCCTTCTAACGTAATTTCGCGGGTTCGAATCTGGCCGGACCGGCCCAAATCTCAAATATTTAGTTCCTTTGTCTTTTTTCAAGGTTTTCACATGCCAGCCAACTCCATTAAATCCCACTTGTTCCATCTATCTGTCTGTCTGTCTGTCTGTCTGTCTGTCTGTCTGTCTGTCTATCTGTCTATCTATCTATCTATCTATCTATCTAATCTATCTATCTATCTATCTATCTATCTATCTATCTATCTAATCTATCTATCTATCTATCTATCTATCTATCTATCTATCTATCTATCTATCTATCTATCTATCTATCTATCTATCTAATCTGAAAGATAGAGAGATATATATGCTCCTCTTCCCTTTTCCTATCTCTATGGCCAGCGCCGTCGGCCTCCGCCCGGCGAGCAAAGACGTCACGGGCCCGCTCTGCGCAGGCGCAAGCGTGCGGGGGCGTGGCGGCGCGCGGGGGGCGTGGCGCGTGACGTCATCCGTCAACAAACGAACTCGGGGCTCCGGAGGTGCCGCCACGATGACCAAGTATTGCCGGGCGCCGCGATGCTCCAACTCGGCCGGGCAGCCGCGGCGGGACCAGCGGCGGCTCAGCTTCTACAAGTCAGCGCGCTTCCCGGAAGGACAGGGTGGGGTGGGCTGGGGGGTCTGCTTGGGACGCCCCCTGGGTCCACCCGCCTCGGGCCAGACTGGGGCTGGGGGGGGCATAGGGGGGAGAGGAAGCCCCCTCCCCACCTTGGCCTGACACAGAAACACACCGGGCAGGGCTGCCCTCCCCGCCCAGAGTCCCTGGACTACAACTCCCACGTGGCGTGGAGGAATGGACTTTGTAGTCCGGCCCAGCTGGGGAGGGGGCTTTCGGGGGAGGTTGCCTGGAGGGGGCCAGGAAGCCCTCTCCTGAGGGGGGCAAGAGACACCCTCTCTAGGAGAGATAAAGACCCCTCCCCAGGAGGGATAGAGAGACCCCTCCCCAGGAGGGATAGACCCCCCTCCCCAGGAGGGCTAGAGAGAGACCCCCCTCCCCAGGAGGGCTAGAGAGAGACCCCCCTCCTCAGGAGGGATAGAGAGAGATCCCCCTCCCCAGGAGGGATAGAGAGAGACCCCCCTCCCAGGAGTGGGGCAGGAGACCCCTGTGGTTGGCCTTTTTGGGGTCCAGAGCCACTCTTAATGGGGAGGGGGCAAACAGATCTTTGTTGCTGTTGCTTCTTATGGGAAAGGGTTTTTTTTAAGCAAGAGCCCCCTCCTCATTTTACTCCACCTGGAAGGGGAGAGGGGGTCTCTAGGGCTGAATGGGGGCTTGAATCTGGGGCTCCCCGGCAGCCCCATTAATAGGTGTAGCGTTTAAGGTACCAGCCTAGAAAACGAGAGACGGTGAATTCTAGTTCCGCCTTTGGCACGAAAGCCGGCTGGGTGGCTTTGGACCAGCTTATCCTACCTCACAGGGCTGTTGTAGTGTGGAAAAGAGGAGGGAGAAGGTGTGATGGATACCTTCACCAACTTGAGTTATTTTTAAAAACGAGAAAGGCGGGATACAAAGACTTGAAGTCTACGCTGCCTGGATCGGCATTGGGGTTTTCAGAAATGGGAGGAGATTATCTGGCAGATTTTCAAAAAGTAACGTTGACTTGTGCTGACTTCATGGATGTGTCGCCATGGACCTCTGGGCCAAAAGGGGAAGTGGTTGGTGTTTGCTTTCTTCCTCAAGACTGTGGTTTTTGTGCCTGGCTGAGGAATTCTGGGAGTTGAAGTCCGCAAGTCACAAAAGGGACCAAGTTTGAAGACCCCTGGTCTAACTGTAACACAAACCCAGAAACCTAACTTCATGTACAAGCTGTGAGTTTGGAATTTCTCTGATAACACCAGACTGGCTAGCAGAAGCAGGCTAGCCTGTTTTAATAGTCTATTAAAGTGACATCATTCTTGACGATAAATTTAATAAATAATACTCTCTGACGTAAGCCACAATGTGTTTTTATGGGGCCAAATTATACAGCATTCCAAAATGGGCAGAGCTTTTAACTGCACGCCCGTAGCTGCCATCCTGACTCCTTCCGACCTCTCTTGTATCCGAAGCTTTACAAAGAATGGAAGGAGGTTCCCGGTAAACGAGATAAGGGTGTTGGCAGAGAAACAAGGAATGCAAACGGCAGAATGCACCCTTGTTTCAAGGGCCTCTGTTTATATTTAATTGTGTATCATTAATCCTGATCGTTATTTTCCGTTCCCCTACAGGTTTCCCTTACACAGTCCTGAGCGTCTCCGGCAATGGCTGTCTCAAATGAACCAAGAAAAGTGGGTCCCAACCAAACACCAACACTTGTGCAGTGATCATTTTGCCCCTTCCTGCTTTGAGTACCGGTGGGGAGTTCGCTACCTGAAGCCCGATGCTGTTCCCACCATCTTCCAGACGTCGGACAGCCCACTGGTGAGGAATCCCGTTGCTTTTCCCCCATGGGATGAGAAGGGCCTGTCAGAGAACAGCAGGATGGAGAGGAAATGAGACTATTTAAGTCTCTCTTTGTAAAGTTAGAGCTGGGGAATTCTGGGAGTTGAAGTCCACAAGTCTTAAAGTTGATTAGATTGAGAAATCTAATCTAGGTGATCTTTCTGGTCCCTCCCAACTCTGTCCTTCATGACTGGCTGGGGAATTCTAGGAGTTGAAGTTTTAAAGTCACCAAGTTTGGACACCCCTGTGTTAAAAGAAGAACCAGCAAACCGGTGCTGGTGTCTTCCCATAAAATATATATATACTAAGTGCAAGGGATGTATGTTTCTATAATGTATTATTTGTTTATATCAGTGATGACGAACCTTTTAGAGACCCAGTGCCCAAACTGCAACCCAAAAGCCACTTATTTATCATGGGGTGCCAGGTGGGCGTGGCCGCGGTGGTCATGACAGACTGGGTGGGTGGGGCCAGGGCAGTGGGGGCGTGGCCCGTGTGCCCACAGAGAGGGCTCTGAGTGCCGCCTCTGGCACGCGTGCCATAGGTTCGCCACCACTGGCTTATATGCTGCCTATCTCACTGTTAACAGTAACTGTGGGTGATCTATAGAAGAATAAAAAGTAAAAACATCATACAAAACATTTACAAGTAGACGAAATAAGAGACCAAAGAGGAAGAGCATTTTATTTATTTATTCCCCTGTGCCTCATTCTGAAACCTCGGGGTTCCTATTCACACAATCCGGTTCCAGTGACTGTGTGCCAGAGACTAAGTGTCAGAGAATAATATTGTTTCATGCTACTATTTGGTCCCAGACCGAGTTGGCTGTAAACAAGTTCAGGTTTATCTCAGCTTGGGAAAGATAAATATCAGGGCTTTGTAGTTGTGTGTGTGTGTGTGTTTGCTGATAGGGCTTTGATTTCTGAACAGGCCCCTGGTGGCCACAGCTGAATGTTCCCGCCCTGTAGCAGGTTGGACTTAGATCCAGGAGTAAACAACTATTGTCAGGTGACTTTAAGTGCAGTTTAATTAGCCCTGGAGAGAATCAGGTTGAGAGACAGGTATGTGCCACGTGAGGCCGAGAGCTTGTTTGGGATAAAAGGCCTGGAATTTGCCGTCAGACAGGCCAAGCCCTTGATCCCAGGCTCCCAAACCTGAGAGATTAAGAGATCAAAGGGTTCTCCTGCCCTCAGGTGCTTTGAATATGTCAACTCCCTCTTCTCTGCGACAGCCCTTCAAGTAATGGATGACTGTGATCGTGTGGTCCCTAATTCTCCTCCTCCTCCTCAGTAGGCTGGTCATGCAGGCAGTCCTCAACTTACAATGATTTGTTTAGTGACCGAGGTTACAATGTCACTGAAAAAAAGGACTTTCACACTTACAAAACCGTCGCAGCATCCCCAGGGTCACGTGGTCAAAATTCAGACGCTTGGCAACTGACTCATATTTACGACAGTTGCAAAGTGTCCCGGGGCCGTGTGATCCCCTTTTGCGACCTTCTGACAAGCAAAGTCAATGGGGGGGGGGGGAAGCCAGGTTCACTTAACTGCCGTGTGACTAACTTTAAGAAGTGCACCGATTCATTGAACCGCTGCAGCAAGGTCGTGAAATGGGGCAAAACTCACTTAACAACTGTCTAACTCAAAAAATAGAAAGGTGGAGATCGGTTGTGGTCGTTCCTCTAGCCCAGGGGTAGGCCACCTTGGCTCTTTTATGACTCGTGGACTTCAACTCCCAGAATTCCTGAGCCAGCCATGCTGAGGGGAAAGGGAGGGGTTTCCATGCTGAGCCATGCTGGCTCAGGAATTCTGGGAGTTGAAGTCCACCAGTCATAAAGCAGCCTAGGCCTAGGCCAGAGGTAGGCAACCTTGGCTCTTTTATGACTCGTGGACTTCAACTCCCAGAATTCCTGAGCCAGCCATGCTGAGGGGAAAGGGAGGGGTTTCCATGCTGAGCCATGCTGGCTCAGGAATTCTGGGAGTTGAAGTCCACGAGTCATAAAAGAGCCAAGGTGGCCTACCCCTGCTCTAGCCAGTTCCCGCAACAGTTCATGGTACAATTTAGCCTCCAGTCCGCTCATCCTCTTTGTTGCTCTTCTCTGCACTCTTCCTGAGGTTTCAGCATCTTTCCTGTATCCTGGCAACCAGAACTGGAGGCAGGATTCTCAGTGTGGCCTCCCTGGGGCCGTGGGAAGAGCAGATTCACCACTGTGAATCCCGCTAAGGGTTTGGCTCATCCTTTCTTCCACTGATTAAATTGGAGAAGTGTGGGGGTCCCTGGTGGTCTCCGAGCTCGGTGGCTTTCTTGCAGACGTTTCATGAGCCAAACTAGGTAACATCTTCAATGCTAGAAGGGGGGGGGAGTTGCTGATGATGTTTCCTAGCTGGGTCATGAAACGTCTGCGGGAAAACCACTGAGCTTAAAAAGCACCAAAGACCCCACAATCCTCCTCCTCCTCTCTCCCTCCCTCCCTCCCTCCCTCCCCCTTCTAGCACTGATGTTTGGGTCATGAAACATCTGTGAAAAAAAACTCCAAGCTCAAAGAGACCCAGGGACCCCACAGTCCTCCTCCTCCTCCATTTCCTTCTGTCACAGAAGAGGTTACCTAGTTGGGTCCTGAAAGGTGTGCAGGAAAACAGCCCAGCTCAGAGAGCACCGAGGACCCCCCTCGTTTCAACCCCAAGCCACAAATAGCCTCCTCTACTGGTAAATTGGAGAGGGCTGCATTCGGCCGTTGACGGGTGGCCCTTTTTGTTTCAGAAGAGGGAGAGTCCTCACAAACCGGCTTCAAACCCATCGGCCAAGAAGCTGGCTCTCGATTGCGATGGAGAGAGGGGCACCCCAGCTGCCCAGACCCCGATCTGCCAGGAGCCTAACGCCATGGAGACCCTGGCCATAGCCATAGACCCCAGCGTGGCCGCCACGCCAGTCTACCTGGAGACCCAGTCTTCGGCTCCCAGCTTGGACTTCCAGACCCTCTCTGGACCCCTGGTCGGAGCGGTGAACCTGCTTCCTCTGGTCCAAATTGTGGAGCCCCTCAAAGCCGTCACCCTGGCGGTGGCTTCCCCCACGCCAGCCCTGGCGGGCCAAGCTTTGCAGGAGCCCCTGGAGCAGCAGGTGGTGGACTTCGTGGCCTCCCTGCCCCCTGCCTCCCTGGGAGCCTTGCCGAGCTCTTCCCTAGGGCTGGCTGGGCAACTGTGCGCCGAAGTGGCCTTGCCCTGCGAACTGGTGGCAGTGGGCGACCAGCCCTCGCTCCAGGCCCTGATGGCCGAGCCGGCAGCGGTGGCCGAGCAGGGGGCCCTGGTGATTGAGAACATCTCCATTGAGCCGTTCCTGGACGGCAGCCCCTCCGTGGCCGTCCCCATCCTGAGCCCCCTGCAAGGGTCCACCGCCACTGAGATGGTGGCCTATTTCGAGACCATCCCCACCGCCCCCGTGGCCGCCGCGGCCTCTTCCGGGGTGACGCCCCCCGAGACGGTCTTGTCCTCGGCCCTCAGCCTGCCCATCGTCTCCACCCTGCCCATCGTCTCCAACCAGGCCCCCCCGGAGGGCGAGGAGCTGAAGCTGGACGACGGGAGCTCTGCCGAGTCTTCGGAGGAGCAACTGGAGGAGCACGGCTACCACCGGAACGAGGGGACGACGGCGGAGCTGGTGGAGGTGGTGATGGGGCTGCAGAAGAAGGTGAAGGTGCTGCAGCAGAGGCACCGGCGGCACTGTGCCAAGCTGGACGCCATGAAGAGCGTGGTGGAGCAGCTCTGGAAGGAGAACTTGGCGTCGGAGGAGAAACTGAAGCTCCTGGAGGTGGTGAGTGGCCGGGCGCTTCCTTCGATTTGGTAGAGAAACAGGCACAAGGATCGACATTACAGGCAGTCCTCGACTTCCAACAGTTTGTTTAGTGACCGTTCGAAGTGACAACAGCACTGAAAAAGGTAACTTACGACCCTGTTTCACACTTAAGACCGTCGCAGCATCCCCGGGGTCACGTGATCAGAATTCGGACGCTTGGCGACTGACTCATATTTATGACGGTCGCCGTGTCCCAGGAATCACGTCATCCCCTTTTGTGACCTTCTGACAAGCAAAGTCAGTGGGGAAGCCCGATTCACTTAACATCCATGTGACTCATTTAACGACTGCAGGGATTCACTTAGCAAGGGTGACAAGGAAGGTGGTAAAATGGGGCCGAACTCCAACTTTATCATTATTATTATTATTAAGTGTCTCGCTTAGCAGTGGAAGTATCCCAAGGGAAGACCCGCGAAGAGCAGGCTCCGTTACCGTCGTAACTCTAGGACGACCTGTATTTCAAGATCTTGGGGCACAGTGAGCCACACTGGTTAAGGACGCTGCGACCGTCGTAAGTGTGAACCAATTGCCAAGTGTCTGGATCTTGATCACGGGACCCCGGGAATGTTGCAAGGGTCATAAGTGTGAAAAACAGCCCTAAGTGACTTTTTTCAGTGCCGTTGTGACTTAGAACGAATTGTTGTAAGTCAAGGACCACCGGGACTTCAACGGTCTCGCCGTGGGGGACACGACCGTTTCAGCCCCATCTGGACACAGCGGAGGCTGCCGGAATCCTATCCGACTGGCCAAAGGCTGCCCAGGTATCCTTAACCCCTTCTCTGCCCTTCCCTCCCCAGGCCTGCCTGCAGTCCAGCACCTTCGTGCCAGAGAGCGGCGGCGCAGTGGCCATCATCTGCCAGGACAGAGACCAGGCCATGGTCTACGCCGTGCCTCAGCTCTCCAGTGAAGGCAGCGAGACCATCCTCCGGTTGGAAGAGCAGTGAGCTGGGACTGAAGGGGGGTGGGGGGGGGCAGCTGAGAACAGGCCTTTCTGCACCTGGTTGCCCCCTCAGTCCTCCCCAGGGGGTGCCCAGAGCTTGCCCCCCCCCCCCGGAGCCTCTCCGTGGCCTTATTGCTTCAGCACCTTATCTTCTGGTTTCTCTCTGGGGCTACTTGAGATCATTATATATATACTGAACTTTCAGCCCATAATCCTTCTCGGGCCTCCCAGGCTGCTAATTTGCATTCGCCCCGGCTGGCGTGGCCGTGGCCCAGGGTGATGGGAATTGTAGTGCAAAAGGGAAGACTTAACCACCGTTCCCCTGCTTGTAATCCTCGCCAGCGTTACCGGACCAGCCAGCTTCGTCTCGGTGGCCAAGAAGTGTCCCATCCATTTTTGGAGGCCTAGAACGTTTTGTCTGTTGGTGCTTTTTTTTTTTTTTTTGAAGGCTTCAGATTTGGCGTTTGCAAGGTGATTTTCTTCCTGGAGGGGCTGTTGGCCTCTCCAGATTTCCACACTGATTCAAACTAGGTGGGAAAGATGATTCTGGGCTGCTGATCCCAACTGAGTCTTTTATGCAGAGCTTACAATCTGATGGGGTTGAATGGAAGCTGGAGGGGACAGGAAGTGAGTGTAGGAAACACGGTAAGGAGAGAGGAGAGACTCTTTTAAGGGGCCATGAACAGCCAAAAAGGGAAGTGTGGAAAAGATTTGACACACGGCAACAGTTGACAATAGGCCCCGTGAAATTGGAAACGTAACGTGTGTTTTGCAGCCACGAAACCAGCTGGAGTTGTGTGTGCCCGCCTTCTTCAACCTGGCGCTCTTCACTTGCTTTAGAGTAAATCTCAGAATCCCTCAGCGATACAAGATGGGGCTTTTTGTGAATTGTAGCTCAAAAGCATCTGGGGAAACCACCAAGCTGGACGTGAAATTTTCAATAGACAAGATTAAGAACAAGATTAATCTTGTTCTTAATCAAGATTATTATTATTATTAATAATAATAATAAATAATTAAGAACAATTCAAAGAGCGTTTAGACTTCTTTCTGCTTTTCTTTGTAATTGTCCTGTAATTGTCCCGAAGGCCAAAATGTCTCCCCAACTGGCTGCCAAATAGGATCCCGAGTGAGTTTTGATCATAGATCCTTTCACTGGTTAAATCTTCATTTTTTTTTAAAAAAATAAAATACACTGGCTTCTGTGATTAATCCAAGCGTTGGAGGAAAGATTTCATTAAAGATTTTACAAAGGCATGCCCGTCTTCCCCAGCCTGGCGGCTTTCAGATACGTTGGGCCTAAAATTCCCAGCCAAGATAGCCAAAGGAACTCTGGGAGTTGTAGTCCAGCCCACCTGGAGGTTGCCAGCCGGGGAAGGCCAGGGTAAATTGAGCAGGGATGATCTTTTTTTGCATGTGCTGTGTGTTTATACAGGTCTGTAATTTAAACAAACGAATAAAAGGAATCTTATCAGAAAATATTTTGCTTGGCTTTGATTACATCAGGAGGAGGGAAGCCATGACTTTGGATCCAGGCATGTCTACAGTCTTTCAAAGGTTAAGACGGCGATCGTGTGACCCAGGTCCCCATCTTGATTTTTTAAAACTTCCCCCGTGAAAGCCCTGGCTGGATCTATGGCTCCCCACCATTCACACCAAGCACAATGGAGTGCCTTCAAGTGGGTCAGTGCTTCTCCGGTTAAAGAAGCGTGGACTTCAGCTCCCAGGATTCCCCAGCCAGCATTCTAGGAACTGGAAGATGAATGGACTTCAACTCCCAGAATTCCTCAGCCAGCAAGTTACTGAATTGGAAAATGAGTGGACTTCAGCTCCCAGGATTCCCCAAAATTCTGCCTTCAAATTTACTAGCATGCTTTAAGATGAGTGGACTTCAACTCCCAGAATCCCCCAGCCAGCATGCTATTGAACGTGAAGATGTATGGACTTCAACTCCCAGAATTCCCCAGCCAGCATGCCAGTAAACGTGAAAGAGATGTGGACTCCAACTCCCATGCTCACTGGGGATTTCTGGGAGTTGAAGTCTACGCCTCTTAAAGTTGCTGAAGTTGAGAAACATAATGAAGTGGATGATGGGTTATGGTGCCGTCCGAGCATGGAACTGTTTGGAAACCAGCCAATTCCACATTAGGCTGACTAGCCAAGGAACCAAAAGCAAATCGCGATGCTTTACCTCACCCCTTACATAAATCTATGGTGTGATCACACTTAGTTATATTTTGCATATGTCTGCTCACCCCCCACCCCCCAACCCACCACGAGTGAAGTTAAGAGCTGGAAAAGTTGCAGACCGAAGCAGATCTAGGAGGGGGGGGAAATGGAGATTTTAAGGCTGGAAGGCAGCCAGGCAGAGTGAGTTGTGGCATATAAAATTAGGCAGGATGAGATTTATTTTCCCAGAAGGAGATGGCAATTCTTCTGTGCAGTTGGCGAGAAAACCACGTTCCTCCAGACTATTGATATCCCAATCTGGTTTGCGTTCCTGGAATTTTCAACTGGCTGAGGTTTTTGGTTCTTTGCTTAGCTGCCTTCACAACAGACCGTTGTCGTGCGGTGTTTCTTCTGGAAAATTCGGGGGGGGGGGAAGTGGGTTTGGTGTTGTGTTGTGAAGGGGCTGGCCAATCCCCAGGAGATGGTGAGTTCCAGTCTCACCTTAGGCACGAAAGCCGGCTGGGTGACTTTGGGCCAGTCACTCAGTCTCAGCCCAGCCCACCTCACAGGGTTGTTGTGGGCAAAATGGAAGGTGGAAGGAATAGTAGGTACGTTTGCTTGCAGAATAGTAAAATCTGGATAAACATCTAATCATCGAACGGTCCTTTCAGTGAAACTGCCGCACTGTGAAAAAATGGTCAGAAGTCCCTTTTTTCCAGGGCCATTGGAGTTTTGAACCGTCACTAAACGGACCGTCGTAAGTCGAGAACTACCTGAACGGCCATTGGCCCCCTCTCTGGAGAGAGGTCTGCCAGCT